TGTTAAAAAATTTTTTAAAATAAATTATAAATAAATTTTGAAAAGATTAAACATTTAAAGTATTTTTAAATTTTATTTAAAATTTACTTTAAAAAATAATTTTTAAATCTTTTAACGAAATTTTTACTTTGTGAAGAATAAATAATATTTTTAAAATAAATATTTTTTTAATTTTATCAAACACCCTCAATTATTTCTCTTTGTTTTCTTCTCCTCAATCTCTCTTGTTTAGTTATATTAAAATTATAAAGAAAATAAATAAATAACTCCTCCATCCTCTCTCTCCGATTTAATTTTCGTCCTCCAAATAAAAAAAATTATCCCTAACCTTTTAAATCAAACAAGTTATCCTATGTCTGCTACATTGTGTTATAAATTAATGATAAATTCCCAACTCAATTGTCAGATTTTTATTTTTTCTTCAGGTAAACGTCCATTAGACCATTAAAAAATCTTCCCGATTTCCATTTCTTTTCTAAAAAAAAAATAAAACAATATATTGATAACTAATTACCTAACTCAACTTTATCCTTTATATATACTGGCAACAATTGAATCCAGAAAAACAAAAAATCATACACTTTGAATCCCATCACATCGTATATCTTCAAAGTTTGATTACTCAAATGGTCTCTTCAGAAGAAACCCAAAGCCAAATCCATGCCAACAACATCCAGGAAGGTCACGAGGAACAATCTTCCTCATACGCCATGCAGCTTGTCAATTCAGTCACTCTGCCCATGACTCTGCATGCTGCACTTCAGCTGGACATTTTCCAGATCATAGCCAAAGCAGGAGCTGGCGCCAAGCTCTCCCCACAAGAGATAGCAACCCAGTTGGGCACCCAGAACCCAGATGCGCCCATGACGCTGGACCGCATCCTTAGGCTCCTAGCCACCTACAATGTGCTCACTTGCTCTGTTACTACCACTGATCATGGTGATCTTCAGAGACTGTATGGTTTAGCACCTGTGTCCAAGTACTTTATCCGGAATAAAGATGAGGCTTCATTAGGACCCTTTATGACTTTGCTTCAGGACAAGGTCTTCTTGGATAGTTGGTTTGTGCTTCCTGCTCTCTATCAAATATCAATTCTCCTTTTATCAAAAAGTCATTTTTTCCTTTTCTAATTAATTGGTTTTCATTATTGTTACTAATTAGGTCTCAATTGAAGGGTGCAATTGTTGAAGGAGGAGTTCCTTTTCACAGGGTCCATGGAACTCATGTCTTTGAATACCCTGCCAAAGACTCCAGATTCAATCAAGTTTTTAATAAAGCAATGATCAATCATACCACCATTGTTATCAAGGAAATCCTTGAGTCCTA